CAGTGCCGGTCCCACGGGACGCCCCACTTGCCTTCTCCATCCCAGCCAGTGCCCGGCCCTGGGGGCTGCTTCCTGCAGGGATGGGTGTCCCGATGCCCTGTCCCGGCAGGGACCTTGTGTCCTAGGCTTGCTGTGGGGCTGTGCCGCTTCCAGCCCCCCCCAGCTTTTCCCATTCCTTGTTCCTGCGGAGATTTCCTCTTCCTCCACAAGCCCAGTGCAGCCTCCCGCACTTAACCATTGCGCTGCCCATGTCCCCGTGTCCCCGCTGCCTGCCGGGTGCCCCCTGTGTCCCCTCCCTCTCTGCACAACCCACCGCAGCAGCCCCACGGCGTTTTGGGCACCCGGCCGGGCGCTGTGCACCCCGTGCAAGGTTCGCGGGCAGCGCTCGTGTGCGGGGGTGCTCGGGGCACGGGTGGGTGCACGAGCATTTGGGTGCCAGTAGGGTGGGCATGGAGGGGATGGAGGGCAGCGTTAGGGTAGGTGGGTATTCAGAGTGCATGGGGGGCAGTGCATGGGCAATTAGGGTGCAGGGGGATGATGCAGGGGTGCTGGAGGGTGGTTCATGGGCAATTAGGGGGCAGAGCGTGGGTGCTGGAGGGTGATATATGGGCAATTAGGATGCAGGGGGTGTTGAAATTAGGGTGCTGGAGGGTTGTGCATGGGCAGTTAGGGTGTAACCATGGTACATGGGTGCTGGAGGGTGGTGCAAGGATACTGAGGGTGCAGGGGGCTGTGCATGGATGATGCAGGGTGGCATGGGGGTATTTAGGGTGCATGGACAAGCGTGGGTGCTGGAGGGTGATATATGGGCAATTAGGATGCAGGGGGTGTTGAAATTAGGGTGCTGGAGGGTTGTGCATGGGCAGTTAGGGTGTAACCATGGTACATGGGTGCTGGAGGGTGGTGCAAGGATACTGAGGGTGCAGGGGGCTGTGCATGGATGATGCAGGGTGGCATGGGGGTATTTAGGGTGCATGGACAGCACAGGGGCGCAGTGGGTGGTCCACGGACAATGGGGGTGCAGGTCCCACGGGAGTTCGGGATGCAGCGGGTG